CCAATCACCAGGAGCCTGGGAGTTATAGTCCCACCTTAGGCACAAAAGCTGGCTAGAAGACTATGGGCCATAGGCACAAAAGCTGGCTGGAAGACTTTGGACCAATCACCAAGAGCCTGCGAGTTATAGTCCCACCGTAGGCACAAAAGTTGGCTGGATGATCTTGGGCCAATCATCAGGATCCTGGGAGTTCTAACCCCACCTTAGGCACAAAATGTGGCTGCATGACTTTGGGCCAATCATGAGAAGACGGTGAGTTCTAGTCCCACCTTAGTCATGCAAGCCAGCTGGGTGATTTTTAGGCCAGTCACTCTCTCTCAGCCCAACCCACCTCACAGGGTTGTTGTTGTGGGAAAAATAGGAGAAGGAAATTATATTGGATATGTTCACTGCCTTGAACTATGTGTAAAAGTGGAAGTGGTATACAAATAAATATATAAATAAAAAATAACAAAAATAAATGAGTCCTCTTGTATTATATAGTTATACAGTTGGTGTAGTAGACAAGGTGAGATACAAATAAAATAAAAATATAGTCACCTAATGTGTGTTGATCAATAGGAAGAGAGTTATTTAATAAACCTAGGTGATATTTCATCATTTTCCTGCATGATAAAGTGATTTACACTATTCCAACAGGATATTTTCTTTCAAAAAATCCACCCAGTTCTAAACTTCTATCCAGTGTGAATGCAGTTTAAATGTTGTTCATACTTAATTTTATCCTTTCCCAAAATGTGACAACATTGATATATTTGTTTGACTGGTTGTTGTTTTTAAAGTCCTTTGTCACTTTCATTTTTGGTGTATCTTTTAAATTTGTATTTTTTGAAGCCTGAACAAAGCTGGATTGATTCCAGAGTGCTATCAAAATAGGAAGCATATCTTTGCAGCATTATTTCTTGTTATTCTCTCCATGCCGCTGATCCAACTGAGTTTTCTTGGATGAGAAACTAAATGTATTCAAGGGGAAAAAAAGTTCAGTTGCCTTTTGGGAAAGCACCTTTGGGACAACCATGACCTGGGATGACTGAGAATCTCCACAGACCTTTCAATTTAGGTTCCTCACAGGAAATTACTTCAGTGTTTGTCTCTGTATTCTAGATCCTTATTGGTGGAAATATTTCTGGCAACACAGTCCTGGAAGATGATTTCAACACCTTGGATAGCAAGAAATGGCTTCTCCACCCAGGTGGAACCAAAATGCCTGTCTGTGGCTCCTCTGGAGATGCTCTGGTCTTCATTGAGAAAGCCAGCACTCGCTACGTGGTCACAACTGACATCGCCATAAACGAAGACTCTTTTCTTCAGCTGGATTTTGCTGCTTCCTGTTCAGTCACGGACTCTTGCTATGGTAAAAGCCATTTCTTTAAATTTGTTATTTATGTTAGATATGATATGATATGATATGATATGATATGATATGATATGATATTAGATTAGATTAGACTAGACTAGACTAGACTAGACTAGATTAGATTAGATTAGATTAGATTAGATTAGATTAGATTAGAATTCTTTACTGGCCAAGTGTGATTGGACACACAAGGAATTTGTCTTGGTGCAAATGCTCTCAGTGTACATAAAAGAAAAGATACATTCATCAGAATCATCAGGTACAACACTTAATAATAGTCAGAGGGTACAATAAGCAATCAAATCATACTAGGAAACACTCAATAAAAATTGTAAGGATACAAGCGACAAAGTTACAGTCATAGAGTCACAAGTGGAAGGGGATGGATGATAAGGAGTGATGAGAACAGTAATAGTAGTGCAGACTTTGTAATAGTTGAACAGTATTGACGGAATTATTTGTTTAGCAGAGTGATGGCTTTCACGAAAAAACTGTCCTTGTGTCTAGTTGTTCTGGTGTGCCATGATGGCGAACCTATGGCACACGTGCCAGCTGTGGCACGCGAAGCCATTTGTGTGGGTACGCGAGCCCCAGCCAAACTTACTTGCATTGCACGCCTCCCAACTGATTTTCGGCCCATTTGAGGCCGTTTTTGCCCTCCCCGGGGCTCAAGGGAAGCCTCTGCAGCCTTTGGAGGCTGAAAAATGGGCCAATTTCGGCACTTCCGGTATTACCGGAAATACTCCTGAGTCGCCCCTTTTGTCTTCACTGTTCTTGCTTTCTGGCAGCTCTGCGCAAGCACGCACTGGGAACAGGCTCCCCCTGTTCCTCTGCCTCACTGATGTCAGATTCTGGATGCTCTGGAGTCGCACATAACTCTCAGATGGCCCTGGCCCCATTTCTGTGTCAGACGCAGATCCCTTGTCCGAGCCCTCCCCAGACTTCAGGACTGGCCCATGTTTCTCCCCACTGTCTGACTCTGCTGCCAGCTCTAGACCACAACACTCCCAATGATCAGCTGTTTCAGGCTTCAGGGATTGCCATCGCCTATTGCCACCTGCGCGTGCCCCATCCCACTTTCAGCCTCTGCACTCCCCATTTTCAGCATCCGTGTGCCCCATTTGCAGCCCATTCTGGGCAGCAGAGATCGGAATGTGCGGAAAATGGGACGTGCGGAGGCCAAAAACAGGGCATGTGGAGGGACGGCCAAAAATAGGATGTGAAGGCCAAAAATGGGGCGTTTAGAGGCAGCAATAGGCAATAGCAATCCTGCAGCCTGAAACAGCTGATCATCGGGAGGCCCAACCGACAATCAGCTACTTGTGCTAATCAGGCTGTCCTGAAGCTGAAACAGGCTGTTTGCTATTTGCTGCAAGGAGGCAAATTGCTGGGAGGCAGAGGCCAAAGGGTGGGGGCCGGTGGGTGACCGGTCACTTAGACATTCAGTGTATAAGACGCACAGACATTTCCATCCATTTTTGAGGGTGAAAAAAGTGTGTCTTATACTCCAAAAAATACGGTAATTAGTATATTTAGATGGATTTTATATAGTAGCTAGAAGACAGAGGCTGGAGTAATAATGACCTGCTTAAGATCACTTGGCAAAGATGCAGTTGAGGAACAACCTGCACTAAGAAAGTGTGCTAGTTCATAGTGTAGATTCTCTGTTGCTATGCCAATGTTTCTCAGTGCTGGCAACTTGTGAACTTCCACAACTGAAGTCTATACACCTTTATGTTGCCAAGGCTGAGAAGCACCCAGCTATGCTATCTAAAATCTCAACATCTGTGCCTATTTCAGAACTTCATTATCCTTTCTATCGGCCTAAATGCCTTGATTTATTCATCGGTGCCCACCAATGAACATCTCAGTGGATCCATAATCTGCCCTCCATTTGATTTATTTTTATGGCTGCATATTTATTTAAGCAATTTGTAAGCCGTCCAGATCCCAAAAGGGGTTGGAATACAAGGCTACAACTATCAGAAGAGTAGATAACACAACCAAATGCTGGAAGCCAGAAACAATCCAAGTCATAAAACTATAACCATGTTAACCGGCAGAGATCACCTACAATCGCAAGACCCAAATGCAGAAGAGCATTAATTCGCTATTTCACACCCTAAGTTGTTTTATCTGATTAAATATCAGAGTGCTTTTCCTTTTTCAACTGCTGTGGTCTTGAGAAAACACTGAATTAGTGAGGCGATGTTAGGTTTCTTCTTCTTCTTGTGCCATATATCCATCATTGGACGTTGGCCATCATGCTGGCAATCCTATATTTAACAACAGCCACAAAAAAAAGTGCTGTTGAGTTTTGTCCAAACCTGTCCCTTAGATTTTGAAGCCATTATGTTCTTCTGCCTGGACCTCGTTTGCCTTCAGTTTGTCAACTCAAAAATATTTCTCTTGTCTTTCAGAGTTGTCAGCAGAAAGGGAGTGGGGGGAGTAATGCATACCTTAGTTAATTGCTAGGCAGCCGAAGCTTCTGGCGCGCAAGATTATTACTGGAGAGCATGATTGATGACTTTTGGCTATGGATGTGTCCCATTGGAGAATATACATCTAGGGGTTGGGAGAAGATCAGGGTGAAGGGTGAAATGAATTATGTATCTCAGTGCCGGCTGCACCCAGGTCACGCCGACAGGTTCACTCCTAATAAATGATTTTTTTAAACCCTGAGAGATATGGCTAGAGACTCATGATTCAAATGGGAGTGTGTTGTCAGAGCCCTGACACAATCTTTCCCTGGAGGATTAAGTGAATATGCCGTACTTTTCCAGGTGTTGCATCACATGTCCGAAATATTCTACCTTTTGTGTTTCTTTATGGTTTGGATGATTTCCCTTGGCTTTCCCAGGCGGCTTATCGCCTCCTCATTTCTGATTTTGTCAACCCAGCTTATACGTAACTGTAAATCCACATTTCAAATGCTTCTAGTCTCTTCCAGGGGCTTTCTGTCAAAGACTAACTCTCCACTCCGTAGAGCAGGATAGAAAAGATGGAGCATGTGATGGGGTCGCCAACCTTTTGGACTCAGGGACCACCAAACTCGTAATTTTAAATCCCGCGGACCAGAGACCCTGGGAAAATCCCCCCAAAAAGTCTGCAGGAAAAATCCCCACCTGTTTTCCTACCGATTGATCATTCTTTATTTGGGATCGCAGGATACTATCTTCAGCTCTGTTCTCAGGGGAAGAGAGAGAGAGAGACTTTGGGCTTCATGCAAGGAAAGCAGCAGAAGCAGCAGAAGTCTTTCTTTCTCTCCCCAAAACTCCACTAGAAATGAGTCTTTGTAAGACTTGTCGCCCCGGTGCAGCCTCTTGGAGCAGGATGCCTTGCAGGCTCCCAAATACTCATTTCTGGCAGAGTTTGGGGGAGAGAAAGAAAGACTTTTGCTGCTTTCCTTGCGTGCGGCCAAAAGCAGCAGAAGAAAGAAGCAGAAAGAAGCAGGTGGCCAGGCCAGGGACATGGGGCGAGTGGGGCAATTTCCCCCCACCTCCGCCCTTTCCCCCCTCCCCTCACTACCTCGTGTTGTTCACAATGCAAGCAACGCAAGCCTTGTGTTCCCCCGGGCCATGTGGGCGGCACAGCCTTCTGTTTCCATCAGCCTGGATAAATTGCTTTGAGAGTGACATTTCTCTGCAGACCACCAAAATTTTCTCACAGATCATCAGTGGTCCCCAGCCCACTGGTTGGCGACCACTGTTCTAGTCCATAGAGATGAGGCACCTCTCCATAGAATGGCCAACTTTGTTCTCTACTTTTAGTGGAATTCACGCTGTAGCAGGTATTCTTTGAGAACAATGTAAAACTCAACACATGATAGAACATTTGGATCTGCTCCCCTACAGCAGTCACTTAAATATCTATGGAGATTCTCAGCCATCCAGATAATCAGAGTTGGAAGGGACCTTATAGGTCATCTGGGCCAGGGGTCGCCAACCTTTTGGACCTCAGGGACCACCAAACTCATAATTATTGATCCCAGGGACCACTAACCAGTTCTGTGGGCATGGCCTAATTTGTTGGTGTGGCTTGGTGGTCATGTGACTGGCTGGGCATAGCTTGTATGTAAATATTATAAATATTTATATAAATATTGAATTTTTTATAAAAAAGAGCAACTTTTACCCAAAATCAGGCAAAGCAGGCAGGCAGATTGAGTTGCTCACAGAATCACAGATTCATTCAGAGATCTATCTATCTGCCATTGGCTAGCTCAGTCTGTCACATAAAATTTGCTTGCAAGCAAACTCATAAAATTAACTCACAACACACCATGTATGTAAATATTGATTTTTTTTTATAAAAAAGAGCAATTTTTACCCAAAACCAGGCAAAGCAGGCAGATTGAGTTGCTCACAGAATCATTCAGTGATCTATCTATCTGCCATTGGCTGGCTCAGTCTCTTAAATTTGCTTGCTGTGAGTCTGCACTGAATTTGCTTGCAAGCCAACCTTCAGTCCTAAGGGAGGTTTGGCGGAGCTGAAGATCTAAAGATTAGCTAAAAAGCAAGAAATCCAACCATTTCCTGCTTCCTAGCTAATGCAAATCTCCCTGCGCAGCAGAACAGATGATGGTTGGAAAAAGGAAAAATAGCAATTTTAGCAGGCAAGTTTGCTGGGTAAGAGTGAGTGGGCGGGGAGCGTTCCTGCGGGCCATGTGGATGGCGCAGCCTTGTGTTTCTGCTCTGCCTGTATTAATTGCTTTGGGGGGTGCTCTGGGGTGAGATTTCTCTGCAGACCACCAAAATTTTCTCAAGGCCCACCAGTGGGCTGCAGCCCACCGGTTGGCGACCACTGATCTAGTCCAATCCCCCACCCAAGCAGGAGTTCCTACACCTTTTCTGACAAATGGCAGTCCAATCTCTTCTTGAAAGTCTCAAGTGATGAAGCTCCCACAACTTCTGAAGGCTGTTCCGTTGGTTGATTGTTCTCACTGTCAGAAAGTTTCTCCTTATTTCCAGGTTAAATCTCTCCTTCAGTTTCCATCCATTGTTCCTTGTCTGGCCTTCGGGTACTTTGGGAAACAGCTTGACTCCCCTCCTCTCTGTGGCAGCCCCTCAAATATTGGAAGACTGCTATCCTGTCTCCCTTGGTCCTTCTCTCCACTAGACTAGCCAGGCCCAGTTCCTGTAACTGTTCTTCGTATATTTTAGTCTCCAGTCCCCTAATCATCCTGGTTGCTCTCCAGGTCATGGCTGTCCCAAAGGTGCTTTTTTTTAAAAAGGCAACCGGACTTTCTTTGGTTTTTCTTGGAAAACGTTTCGCTTCTCATCCAAGAAACTTCTTCAGTGCTGACTGAAGAACCAAAGAAGCTTCTTGGGTGAGAAGTGAAACTTTTTCCAAGAAAAACCAAGGAAGTCCAGTTGCCTTTTTAAAAAGGTACCTTTGGAGCAGTCATTCAAGTTATCTCTATGCATCTTCGCATATAATATTTTAATGCTTGCCTATGTGCCAGTCTTGCAATTTTTGCATTTTATTCTCCCCTTTTTTTTTTTAGCTATCGAGCTGGAATATTCTGTGGACCTTGGTTTGACATGGCAACCTGTGGTAAAAGACTGCCTTCCTACTAATGTGGAATGCAACAGGTATCATCTGCAGAGGATCTTGGTCTCTGACACCTTCAACAAATGGACAAGAATTATCTTGCCACTTCCTCCTTACACCAGGTGAATTATATTTGGCATCCTTTTATCCATCATAACAAGTTTCCCATTATTTTATGACTTTGAAACAGTGGTCTCTTTTTCCACGGTAGCTACGCATTTTTAAACTTGTTTTCCAAAGGAATTCTACAAGTTGCATATTTGTCCTCCTTCATTACTTTTTAAATTATGTCAGAAGAGATATTCTAAATTAAATTATTTCAACGGGTCTCCCACTTGACTCCAATGAGGCCGCCCAAAACTTTCTGGTGCATCATGCTAATTGATTAGCGTGTCAACACATGCTAATTGATCACGATCTCCTGCACTTTTCTTGACCTGGGGCCCTCAAGATTTGTTGAACTTCATCTCTCATGATTATCAAGCAGTCTAGAAACTCTGCATCTCAAAAACATCTGGGAAGTACACAGTTCAAAAAGTCAGGGACACGCTCCATCACCCACAGAGCTCTAAAACTTCAAGTATGTTTGCGAGAAAAGCTGATATTTTATCATATCTCACATTAATTGAGATCTTCTAAAAGCCTTGAGTATCTCGGTGATGACTATTCTCTGCAGATTCAGCTACTTTTCTGTTCTAAGTGAACAACTTTGAAACAGGATGTTATTTAAGTATATCATATTTCTCAAGTAGAAATAAACAAAAAGCAGGCTAGTTAGAGCAATAGTCTCCCCTATAATGATGTAGGGGTGCAAGAGTTGGATACTAAGAATGGCTGATCAAATTGAGGCCTTTGAACTGTGGTCCTGGTATAAATTATTGCATATATCACAAAGACTCAGAGTAGCAATAGTAATAGCAACAGCACTTAGACTTATATACCACTTTACAGTGCTTTACAGCCTTCTCTAAGTGAGTTAGCCTATGGCTCCCAACAATCTGGGTCTTCATTTTACTGACTTCGGAAGGATGGAAGGCTGAGCCAACCTTGAGCCAGTGAGAATTGAACTGCTGGCAGTCAGCTGAATTAGCTTGCAATACTGTATTCTAACCATTGTGCCACCAGGAAGGAGAATGAGAAAGGGAAGAAGAGAGAAAAGGAAGGAAGGAAGGAAGGAAGGAAGGAAGGAAGGAAGGAAGGAAGGAAGGAAGGA